GAGAGCAAGGTGAAAATTCACGAGTGCTCCATCTGCGGATCTGAGTTCGGGTCGGGGCAGGCGCTGGGCGGCCACATGAGGAAGCACAGGGCCGCGAGCAACAACGGCAACGCTAACAAAAGCGTCGGTGACTGCGAGTCATCTGTCGATGAAGTTGGCGGGAGAGCAGGGAACGTGGCGGCTGTGGATTTCGATCTCAATCTGCCGGCGCCGGAGGAGGAGGAGGACCACGGTGGGGCGGATTTCGACGGCCGATTTCAGCGTCCCCGTCTCGTGTTTTCTGCGGCGGCGCTGGTGGGGTGCCATTACTGAACGCCGGGAGATTTTGAGATATTTTCTCGATCAGTGTGAATAAATAATAAATAATAATAGACTTTTTTTTCCAACAGTGTTTTACAGTAAATTTGTTATTATAAATATTATTACTCCATTCTTTTTGCTTTTTTTATTAATTATTATTTTCAAACACAGCGATTTTTTTTTTTATTTTATTTTATTTTTTATTTATTTTATTTATTGGCGTGAGTTGAGTTTTGTTTTGAGTAAACAAGTGGATTGTATTGATGGATGCCTTTGATTCACGAAAAGTGAGTGACGACGTTATTTTTTCTTTCTTTTTATGTAGTGTGTAGTGTAGTGTAGTGATTGTATTCCTTTTCAGAGATGCTACAGTTCCGTTACGGAATTATTCCGTTAGAGTTTGTAACCATTAGATCAATTATCCCTGACGATTATATGATGATCTAACAGTTACAAACTCTGACGAAAAAGTTCCGTAACGGGACCGTGTCATTTCTCATTCCTTTTTGTTATCCGCAAGCAATTTCATTTCATGATGTTCTATGCCACAACTAATAATACTATTTCACATAATTTTTTTTCATATATATAACAATATACTATGAGTCCAATTTAGTAAGTATAATTCACAACATATATGTATGTGGATGGTTGAAATTTATTTATGAAAATGTAGAATAGATGGGAAGTGGAGTTGGATTCATTCATATTATCTGTTCCCATTAAGTGACAAAAACTTGATGGATAGGAATAAGATGGGTTTGTAACTGCCAATCCCATGTGTGTGAACCTCTATGTATATAGTTATTGCCTATTTATTTATTATATTTTAAATTAAATATACACTACTTTTGAGTTTTGACAACAATGTTTAAGCTGTTTCATATGACCTCAACTTCACTTAATTTTGTAGCTTTCAATCCCACCAATTTTACACCTAATTATTCAACCAAACAATCCCTAACTTCTAACCTTTCTCAACTAGTTTTATCCCATCCATGATCACTCCACTTCACCTCCCACCCAAAAAAGAAAGTAAAAAAAAAACAAAAAACAAAAAAAACAAATAAGAAAACACAAACAATTAAAATAGGTAAAAATAATAATAATAATAATAATAATAGTAGTTTATAGTCAATAATATGAATTATTTTGACAAGTATGACCATCTCATGATATAAATTCAGGGAAATGCTACGATCCTGTTACGAAACCATTCCGTCGGAGATAGTTGATGTAACGGTTATAAATCTCGTTGGAGTAATTCCGTAACTGAACCGTATCCCATAAATTCATATATTCTAGCTTAGTGGCATTAACAAAGGTGATAATTAATATTATGTAGTTTGTGGAGATTAAGCAAAGGGGCTAAGGGTAGGCATGTGGACACATTGCGTGGGAATGTCTTAAGTAGAAGAAAAAAGTGGTGAGAGGTTAAAGGGATTCTTTCAAATGGAGCACATGTAAATGTGTTTTGGTGCTAATTGCTTCCCTGTCAAATTAATATTAGGCATATATACACACATATATACATATATATATTCTCTCCCTTTGGATCATGTTCATTGAACTCATATAACAAAGGACTTTCAATTTTTGAATGTGACCTAATTGAATTAGTTATTCTACTGCCTAATTATCATTAAATCAGTGAATTCAATCTCTCATCTCATGCATCCATCATATAGGACAAAACCCATTAACCAAACAGCAAATTAAATATATTTTATACAAAAAAAAATTTGGTGAAGATAGATATGCCAATATCACTTAAGCATATAATATAATGTATTGTCCTAAGTCCGGAGCGTAGCCAGAAATTTATTTAACCCGAGGCTGCATATTACTATAGCTATTATCAGATCCGAGTAGACATGGTTGCGGGCCGACCCATCCCGTCGGTTCGTCCCGAACCGACACATACCGGCCGTTGACCATAGGTCTTGAACCTGCCTGTAGTTTTGACCAGTTCGGTTCATGTTCTAATATTTTATAGTTTATAACATGGCTAAGGCCAACTTAAAAAGTTCAAAATCAAACATGATAGCATCAAAAAGTTGGAAATAGTAGAAAAAGTTGTGAAATGCACGTTCACATACATATATTAAGTCAAGTACTATTTAATGTACCTTAATTAATTACTATTTAAAAAAAAAACTTAATTGGCTATTTTTCTAACATGGTTGTGTATAATTACGCTTCCTTCCAAGTTAGGGAAAAAAAAAAGGAAAAAGAAAAAAGAAATGCCACCAAAGCTTTGGAGAGTAGACCCACTGAAGGACACAAACACACAAACACGTAGTTGATGAACAACTGTGTGTGTGTTTGCTTTTTAGACATTTTTTTTCAATGCTTGAAAAAACTATATCCCTCCCTATATATTAATTCAAAACGTGTTAAGCTTAGATGGCAGATTCTCACGCTTCGGATGCTGACATGACGAAAATATATGCTTCGTGATGTTATTTTTATAATATTTTTGCTCTGTAGTTAGGTTTGGTATTAGACATAAATAGTTCTACAGATATATTCATTAACTCAACACCCATGTCGTACATGGTATTAGTACTAGTTGGTTTTAAGTAAGACAGATCATCATGTGGACTTAATTATTGATAATAAACAATGTTAGAATCATCTGTATGCAATGTGTGATTAATTGCACTGTTCCACCCTTAAGCCTACACTTGCATAACATAATTTCCCACCTTGCCGGCCATTCTATGTAGCAAGTTCATTGATAGGTATGAAAATCGGGAGAAGAGGGTGCGGTCCCACCAAGTGAAGTACAGCATAAGAGGGTGAACCTAGATGCACCTTAATGAAGTTCTATTCCAAAACCATTTTGTCTATAGAATCATTGTGGGATAACTCACAAGTAATATTCCAATAATAAGACATAAGACTATTTACAAACACCTTGAAAATTATTATTATTATTATTTTCATTATTATTATTATTATTATTATTATTATAAAGCTAACAAAGAGAAAAAAAATAAAAAATAAAAAAAGTCCACCTTTTCTTTTCTTGAAGCAATTTAATGCTTTGAGGAATTAGTAGTAGATTCTCAAAAGATATGGATGAAATAAACAAAAGAGGACCTAAAAGTGAGTAAAGTTGACTTATAAGGTTGTGGCATGCAACCTGTCCAATGTTGTAAGTTGTGCCAAACCACAAGTAAACTTTAAGTTTTTTAAAGCATGCTTGTTTATGGATTTTTTCAATCCAATTTTTTCAACTCAAATATTTAACTCAACTTTAACTCAACCCCACTATCTTTAATATTA